ACATTTCAAGTTTTTAAGGACAGTCATGATTCCAGACATTTTTGCAGGTACCCCAATTCCTGATTGACAAATAGGACTCCACTAAACATAGCTAGAAAGGAAAATCAGAAACCAGGAAACCTATCCCAATTCAAAAATATTTACTCATTGTTTTGTAAAGAGATGATCATGAAATAATAGCATAAATGAAGTATTAAAAATGGCCCAAAAGAGGGGCGCCTGGGTGGTTCAGTTGGTTAAGCGTCTGCCTTTGGCTCAGGTTCTGATCTCAGGGTCCTGGGATCGAGCCCCATGTCAGGGTCCCTGCTCAGTGGGGAGTCTGTTTCTCCCTCTCCTTCTACCCCTCCCTCTCCCCCACCTTCATACTCTCTCTCTCTCAAATAAATAAATAAAATATTTTTTTAAATGACCCAAAAGAAGGACTCATAACAAATGGAAGGTAAGCACACTTAGTTTGGGGGGATAGGGGTTATGGGTGAAAGGGGTCAAAAGACACAAACTTCCAGTTATAAAGTAAACAAGTCCTGGGATTCAATGTACGGGATGGTGACTTTAGTTAAAATATTATATGGTATACTTGAAAGATGCTAAGGGAATAGATCTTAAAAGTTCTCAATACAAGAAAAAAAAATTGTAACTGTGTGGTCACAGATGTTAACTAGACTTATTGTGTTGGTCCTTTTGCAATATATACAAATATTGAATCATCATGTTGTATACCTGAAACTACTATGTTACATGTCAATTATACCTCAATTTAAAAATAATACTTAGTTTTGTTTTTTTTAAAGACCCTAAAGTGTAGAAGTACTTGATGTTTAGAGAAACATATTTTCCTCATTATACTAAATGTTATACTACTGTCATAATATCATGAAAAGATTATTACACTTGGAGACTACCCTGTTTATTCACTCTGTTGTGTAAAAAATTTTAAGCCTAACATGTACAGTGTGTGTGTGTCAAGGAGAGGCTATTTTTCCTCTCCTATTTGTTTTAAATATATGTGTTGCAGCAAACTCAAATTTTGCATTATTCAAGCCTATTAATAGGCAGTAAGTACAGCTTTAAAAAAAGTATTAACTTATAATCGCATAGCAATTTCTTTCTACATGCACTCTCATGGGCATTATCCCACTGGGTTGTCGTAAGGCTGTGAGGGAGGCAGGGCACCATCAATTTTCAGTTCTTTATACTCATTTAAAGGTAATGGAACAGCCTTATTGGATCACTTGTCCAAAGTCAAGTGCCTGTTGGTTCTAAGTACAGTCTCTGCCCATATCACACAGTGTTGGAATGATGACGCTACTGAGGAATAGGGTGCCCGTCTACCTGAGCAGTGGGGGTGGAGAATGCAAGCTTGCACAGCTCCTATATCCTCTGGGTCATACATGAGACACATCTGATAGGGCTTCTCATCCTTTCTAGTTAACTCCGTTTATTTAACCTAATCTTTCCTCACACTAAGTAGGTACCACACTGAAGCAAAAAAAAAAAAAGCAATTAAAATACTTATCGCATACTTGTTGCCACTATATCTTCTCTACTGTACAATTTTTAAAGGTGTTACTATTGTAGAAGACCCCAGAATAGAGTCATAAATGTATATCTTCAGTGTGATAGAATTACAATTTTTAAAAACTAAATTGTACTTTCTTGGTATGTAATTTTTTTTGTGCGTTCATCATTGAGCTATTTTTTTCCTACTCTGAAAAGCTGTTTTGCTACAAGTCCAGTTCTTTTTTACTTTTATCCACAGGGAAGTCATAATCCCCTACTTAAATAGAAGCCGGTTACCATGGAAATCATTCTAATGCCACTGAATCAATATTTTGATTTTGCTGACATTTAATATAATAAGACAGACTAAGATTCATAGAAGTCACTTTTCATCTTTGTTATAATTTTGATAGCTAGGAAAATTGTAAAGAAAACATATGCTCTGTAATGAACTCCAGTTAACTCCCAGTTATAAAGAACTGAGAATTCATAAAAGAACAATCTACCTATTTATATACTTTTGGCTTTGAGCGTACACATAAGCAGGCATGCATTTGGACTCAAGATTTTTTTCTCCATCTCTGAACTGAGCCCTAATTCTCTCTTGTCATTCAAGTCATAACTTGGTAGAGGAGATTTGAATGTATCCAATTTTGCTATTGCCTTTTTATTAAGCATTCTGAAGAGGTGAAATTTGCATCGAGAATCCCTCTTCTGTAAAAGTTGACCTTTTCTGCACGGGATCCTAGTAGCCCATCTGGTCCACCGACTGTCCTCAAACATGTACTACAGCTGAAGGCATCTCAGTCCATACTTAGAACTCCTTTTGAGGAGAGATGTTGAACTTGGACCTCATGTTTAAGAAGTCTCATGCCGATCAAGTAGTTTTCCACGTCTCACTTAAGTCTTTGTGCTGCTCTAATTTAGTCACTGTCTCCTCTCCTGTCCTCAGAAGAAATAAAGATAATAGAGCTACTGTCTTCTGTTTGATAAGTAGCTATTTGAAACCCTAGATCCTTAGATGGTGAGGGGATCTGAAAGAAGAGCTGCTCTCTGTCAGGAATTAGGTAGCTAAGGCATCTCAAATGAATGGTAATCAGTTCTACTTTTAAGACAACTGAATCACCACTCCAATGTTTCTTCTGTGGCACAACCATCCTGTATCTCTGCATGTGTTCACTTTGAAGACCCCAGGTCCCCCTCTCTTGAGAGAGGCTATTCTGGAGGTATTTCACCCTGGTTCCAGAAGTTTCCAACAGTACTGCAGTGCTTCATAACACACTCCTTCCTGGCTACTTTCCTCCTCTGTTTCATCTTTCCCCTCCCCTTTGGGAGGTCCTTTTATTTCCCCTTGATTCTTCAATATTTCTAGATTACATTCAGGCCCGCATCATTCAGAGACCAGTGTTCTACATCAGTAAACGTCTTTTGTAAACAATCTAATATCATTGGCTATCTAGTTTTTTGGCAAGAAAGGCAGAGAGGGGGGACTTCTGGAAATAATACCAGAGAAAATAAAGAGAAATGAAAGGCACTGTGTAACAACATCAGGGGAAACCTAAGAACAACATTTAAAATTTACAAAAGCAGATCTCTAGGCCCCTTTAGTGTATTAACAAGTAAAGGAAACACTCATTTGTTTCTATAAGCATCGATGTGTTCCAAGTTGAAGGACATGCTGATGACTTTGAATCAGGAGAGAAAGGGGTCTTCTAATCTACTCTCAAGTCAGCAGAGGAACAATAAAGAGAGTTGCACAGACACACACACAGACAAGCGCACGTGCACACACACATGCACGTTCATGTCAGTTTCATTCATTATAGCAAAACTGGACCAACCTAAGTATTCTTCAAGGAGAAAATGATTAAATAAAGTGCTATGATGCACACTTCTCTCCTTAAAAATGGTGTTTCTTAAATTGAATGCCATGGAAAATAGTCACAAAAGAGTAAGTGAAAAATAAAACACAAAACTGTATGCATTATGATTTCAATTTTGTAAATATGCATACGCATACGTGTTATTCACGTATGTACTCACATACATATGCACACGGTCACGTTTTTGCATGTATGTATAGTAGGAAGAACTGAGCCTCAGTGGAGATTTTCCACGTAGAATGCATGGATTAGCTCCACCTCCCGGCATGTATTTGTCTTCTTCATTGCGTAATGAAGCTTTCGTTCTTGTCTAAATAGGCACTGGGGCACCAATATGGGGGGAAGGAGAAATGAGGTTGATGGAAGGGATGTGACATGCCTCATGGGTACCCCATGTCATGGACTAGGCTTGAGCTTCTGTGGAAAGGTTAGACCAGAAGATGAGGGAACTTTTATGAAGGCCTGGGAAGCCCACGTGACAAAGATACCTTCCCAGTTGAGGAAAGGACCACCTTGGCTTCCACTCCCAGCTGCAAACCACTGTGACACTCGGTACGCTCGGGGCTTGGGGAAGCCTGCCGTGGAGAATGTCAGGGGCAGACAGCATGAGAGAAAAACTAAGGGACCTGGCGGAGCCATTTTCTCAAGGTGGCCACCGGAACTGGCAGCACAAACAACCTCGAAGCACTTTCCACAGCTAATCCACAAAATCTGCACGGGCTTCTATCAAAGCACACTTGAGACAGCTCTCCCTCCAAGGGACTCTCAGGAGAAACTCAGGAAAGCTGAAACTTCCTTATTCAAGGAAGACTGAAGAGCTGGTGAGATCTACGGTTAACCTGACCTAATTCATACTCCCAGGCCAGCAAGGAGGTAAAGAGAGATTTGTACATTGCATAGCTGAGGAAAAACCGAGGTCCAGGGTAGAATTTGGAGATAGGGATTGAAGGAGACATTGAAATATATACACAGCGTGTGTGTTCATATTCACTGGAAGGAACTCCACCACATTGTACAAGATCATTGTTTCTAAGAATGATTACAATTTGCCTTCTGTATGTTTGTCTGCCTTACCATGTTCCCCTGAGAATCACATCATGCTTCTGGAATCATGTAAGTGATACTAATCCAAGCAAGACAATATACATTTTAGATTTTTTTTTTGTTTTTTTAGGCCAACAACTTCTTAATGATTTGAAGCTTTAAGGGGGTAAGAAAACACACACGCGGGCGCCTGGGTGGCTCAGTCGGTTGGGCGACTGCCTTCAGCTCAGGTCATGATCCTGGAGTCCCGGGATCGGGTCCCGCATCGGGGCCCTGCTCGGAGGGGAGTCTGCTTCTCCCTCTGACCCTCCCCCCTCTCATGCTCTCTCTCTCATTCAAAAGAAAAGAAAAAAAGAAAATACACACGCTGCCTTCCCTTTCTGATACTATAACTATGTCTTCCCGGGTGCCGTCTGTCGGCACCTTAATCAAAGGTCCCCTCGTCTCCACCGCTCCTGCCTGGGACTTCAGGGAGAAGGAGGCAGGCGGGTGGGGCCCCGGGGAGGGGGTGGGGGCGCAGGGCGGATGCTCAGCAGCGGGAGGCCTCTCTCCCGCGGAGCCCGCGCGTGTTACCTTCGGGCCGCTCGGGGGCCTTCCCGCTCTTGCCGGGCGCCGCGCTGCTGACCGTCTCCGACGACGTGCTCAGCTTGGTGCTGGGGTCCCGCTTGGGCTTGGGCGGCGGCTGCCGGCGGGAGCCACAGCTGCTGTCGTCGTCTGCGCCCCCGACCGAGTGCAGGGACTGCGACCTCACGGAAAAGCCGCTGGCGCAGGGATGGGGAAGTCTGTCCTGAGGAGCGGGCATCGTCATGAATCCCATGCGGAAATGTTTGCCCGCGTAACTTCCTTCGTGGCCCCGCCCCACTTCGCCACCTATGCTGTAAGACAAAGCAGAGCCAAGTCCGTGAAGGTGAAGCGAGCCGGCCCCCCGCAAGGTCCCACGGGCGCGAGCGTCCCTATGCTAGGGGGGAGCGCGCATCTCAGCTCTAGGCTGGTGAAGGAACCTTTGCATTAGCACGAGAACCGTGTGTGCGTTTGCATTAAGTGCGACGGGAAAGCAGATACAACCCGATGACAGCGAGAAATCCTAACACCTGGTTCCAGCCATCCTGGTGTCCTGGCATGCAGGTACTCCCAAAACAGTGTTCCAAAGGAAAAGAAAATACTGCAATAGCATATGTCATCTTCAACTGCTTTTCTTTGAGGGAAATCTTGTCAGGGGCTTAAAAAGCAAACGAGAGGTCCGTGACGATGACTCGGACTGTCTTTTGACACATTATTGAGATCAAGTGGACGGCACTTGAGACTCTTCTCCGCTTCATCAAAATCATCCCTAATGTCACCTGGTTAATATAGTGGGGAAAACAAAGCAAAAAAGAAAAAAAAAACAGTAAAAGGGGTGCCATTACCAAATATGGGGGGGGGGAGAGAAACAGGAGGAAAGGAGACAGGGAGGAGGAGGGGAAGGGGGGAAGGGGGGAAGGAAGGAATTGCCAACCTCTGTTAGTTCTCCAGAAACCTTCAGTGATACTAGAAACTTACTTCTACTAATAAGCTAACTTCACAGAATGAAGTAGCATAACAATAAATAAAGAGGTGTAGTTAAAATATCATGTGATAGGGGCGCCTGGGTGGCTCAGTTGGTTAAGCAACTGCCTTCTGCTCAGGTCATGATCCCGGAGTCCCTGGATCGAGCCCCACATCGGGCTCCCGGCTCAGCGGGGAGCCTGCTTCTCCCTCTGACCCTCTCCCTTCTCATGCTGTTTCTCTCTCCCTCCCTCTCTGATAAATAAATAAAATCTTTATAAATAAATAAATAAATAAATAAATAAATAAATAAATAAAATATCATGTGATACTGGGATATTTCTAAATATCTCATAAATAGGGTATGCAAAGTTTCTAAATACAAGGTTCTTAAGTTTTAGGTAGGAAAGTTTGGAGAAAAGTTTTAAAATATAAGAAATCTCAGTTTGAAGCTCAGCAAATCATAAAGGAGTTATTTCTTGGGCCTTTCTCTATGTTAGTAAGTAATGGTGACCTTTTTATGAAGAAAAAGGACATGAATGTCAATGAGAATTTTTTTTTTAAAGATTTTATTTATTTATTTGAGAGAGAGAATGAGAGAGAGCACATGAGAGGGGGGAGGGTCAGAGGGAGAAGCAGACCCCCTGCTGAGCAAGGAGCCCGACATGGGACTCGATCCCGGGACTCCAGGATCATGACCTGAGCCGAAGGCAGTCGCTTAACCAACTGAGCCACCCAGGCGCCCTCAATGAGAATTTTTAAAAGAGAGATTTTTTTCTAGAGTTTTCCCCATTTATGTTCATTCATCAATAGAGGAAACAAAAATAAACATTGGAAATATTCCACTGATTTTCTTAGACAGATAGGAATGATAAAAATGTAGCCTTGAGTATATGAATTTTGGAAGCCTATTGAATCTACCTTTCCAGACATAAGTTTATTTAAACTTTTTTTTAACCTTAATTTTGGCTGGCTCTGCCCTTGTAACGATGAAATCAAGCTAAGGTTTTGTAATTCTCTGTACTGTATCTTTCATAGCATTATAATGTTTGTCACAAATTTTACATTCCAGCAGGAAAAATAATGGAAAATGAGCTTTTTTTCTTTCCCTCTTCACTTGAGGACTTAGCATAATTACATGACCGGGGTGATAGAGCCAGAAAAGATTCAATAAGAACCTTAGACTGATTCTGGCATTAAATTTGGATGACTTGCCACTCTGTCAAAAATATTTTTTATTTTTATTTCTTTTTTTCTGAATATTTTGAGTGCATATTCAGACACTGGATATACCATCTTTGCAAAATGAAATAATGATGACTGGAAGCTGGGTACACTAACCTGAGCAATGGATATCCAGAAGCATGAATGAAATCAAAGGGTTGGCTGGGTGGAACTTTCCACATCATGGTAGAGAGCATCCTAAGCGTGGACAGTGCTTCCACATATTTTATTTTCTGTGTTTTCTTCAAGAACATCCATCAAAAAAATAAATGAAGCTTACTCAGATGGAATGGTTTAGGAAAAATCATTAAGAATTTAAGACAGAATAGGAGTGGTGGAGGAGGGGGATGGGTGTGGTGGACTGGGGAGTTTTCTCTTTGATTTGTGGTGATTGTAACCTTCATCTTTCTCATAGACATTTGATTTCATTTAACTTTGCCTTCAATCGTTTTGCATCTTCATCTTTTCCTTATTTCTGTTGTCATATCACTGAACAAAGAGTGCTTTAAGGATTTATTTAGACAGTCATCTCATTCCGAGTAACATAGCCACGTGAGGGGATTTATGCATGTGTTAATGCACATAGGCATTTATGAGACAGTTACTAGGAATAATTGTATCAGCAATTTCTCTGTTACTTTTGACCTAAATAGAGCCTGCGCCTTTTTCCAGACAGATAATTAGCTCTGCTGCTTCATTTCAAAATTACATTTTTTTCAGCATAAAACAGTTTCATCTAACTCTGAATGCTTTTGTTCATATATGTCCATGCACACACACAGATACACACACATTTGTTCCAAAAAGAAATTTAATGTATACTTCAAACAATGGTAGGTCTGAGTTGCTAGTTTAATTTGACCAGGCTGTGAATGCAGGATAAAGGAATGAGACTAAAATAAATTGGATACAAAGGCCATTGTCCAAGGCAAGGTTAAGGGTAAGCAATAAAGGGGTTATGGTACATCTAAGTTCAAGAGACCAGTGAAGATGATTAGTCTAAAGCAAACTGAAGATAGTGGAACACAGCATACAACTAATTCCTGAATTTATTGTAGGAACATGTGGAGTTTTAAAAATATGCAAATTCCAGGACCCACACTAAAGACAACTACTGAATCACATCTGTTGAGTCAGAACTTCTGTAGGTGAAGCCAATGAGTCCTGTTTTTAAAAACTGTATCCATATGTTTCTGACATAGCCAATCCAGAGACCTCCCAGAAATATTAAGAACAATAGTTAGAGCCATTAACGAGCAGACATCTGTTATTTAGAAACGGCCAAGGAAATACAAATATCAGAAAGTGGGACAAAGGAGATTTGCTAGCTACCAGTAAAATATCACAGATAGAAAAAGGTACAATTTGGGCGCCTGGGTGGCTCAGATGGTTAAGCGACTGCCTTCGGCTCAGGTCATGATCCTGGAGTCCCGGGATCAAGTCCCATATCGGGCTCCTTGCTCAGCAGGGGGTCTGCTTCTCCCTCTGACCCTCCCCCCTCTCATGTGCTCTCTCTCTCATTTTCTCTCTCAAATAAATAAATAAAATCTTAAAAAAAAAAAAAAAAAACAAGAAAAAGGTACAATTTATTAGTCAGATCTTGTTAGGTTATCCTATAGTAACAAACAATCCCTGATTCTTAATGCTTTACAAAAACAAACGTTTATTTCTTGCATGCATTAATTGGGTCAACAGTGTATTAGCCGTGACTCTCATCTACAGATCTTCATTCTAGGATCTAGCCTCTCCTGGGATATGTCCTTATAGCAGAGAGAAAGGACTCGCTGAACCACGTAGTGTCTCTTAAAGCTTCTGCTCAGACATGACAGAACGAATTTTTCATTCACATTCCATTGGCTAAAACCAGTCTTATGGCCAAACCTGACGTCAGTGGGGTAAGGACAGATCATCCTCCAACAGGAAAGCATTGCAAGTTACATGAGAGTACGTGAGGACGCAAAATCCTCTGCAAATACTGGTACAGCAGTTGTGGTGTCTGCCACAGAGATCTCCCTTCAAGAGAGCTTGCCATGAGGAATGCTGTTTGCCAGCTACCAATAATCCAGTGGTTATTATGGGGAATTTGTATTTTCTGTCGCTGTAATTTTGGGCTCTACAGGTTAGAGATCCTATTCCCTGAAGGGGGGCACACTCCTTCTATAAGACAGAGGAAGGGTTCCATTGAGCAACAAGTCATAGCTGGCTCCTGGGTAATTTGAACTCCCTTGTAGTGGCCAGCAGGCCAGAAGACAAGTCTCCATTGAGGAACAGCTCTTTGATCCTGATAAGCAGGAGGAGGCAGGGCTGCTACCACATGACGGGGTAGAAAGAAAAATGTGTGGAACCCCTTTTGATACTCCCTTGCCCATTTGTGATTTTGAAATGCAGTCCCATGCAGCAACCATGGCCCAAGGAGGGTTTGGTTACCAGGGGTTCCAACCTTTCATGGGAGGGATTAGTCTCACCACCAGGTAAGCCACTGAGACCAGCAGAGGTCTTAGCTGACGGTGACAGTGAGGTGAATTTAGAACAAATGGCAGGGGGGCGACAGAGAATGAGTATTGGTTGCAGCCCCTATATGAACTGCAGTGATGAGGGCTGTAGTTTACTGTTCTAACTGATCCCTTATAAGATTCCCCTCAGTAAGAGTCCTGAGGAAGCCATGAAACAGCTGTCTCCAAAACCTGTAGGAGAAGAGCGTCTGCTGAGGAAAAGGGGTGAATTGTGACAGCCATGAAACCCTGTGGCTCAGATCTTCCTCAAGAGAAACTTCTCTAAGGACAGCAGCTGAGAGCCACCAACTATAAAATCTTCAAATCTGTGGCAGCATTTTAGTCAAGGTCACTCTGTCCCTAGAAGGTTCCTTACCAGTAGCTGAGCATGATGTGGTATGGGACCTGGCTATTTTTGCCCAATGTGCGAGTCCTTTCTGGACAATCTTGGTGTCTGACTTCCCCTATTGGGCTGGCAGAGAATTTTCCACAGCGTGAAGCTCTTCCAATCCCACTTCTCTTTCCTTTAGCAGATGTCATGCTACATTGTGACTTGGGGCCT